TTTGTCTGATTGACAGTAAATACATGTTAACTTCAGGGACAGATTCCCTTCTCACCTTTTGTTGATAGTAATTTGAACCCAAATGATATATTATGAAAGAAGTTTCTTACCTCCTGGGTCCTAGACAATTAAAATTACTGCTGGATGATGCACATTGTATAAATCTAAGTATTTTTCCACATCTGCTTTAGTTAGCTATATCGGAAATCATTTAAACCAACACAACTGTGTAGAAAATCCCTACACTTAATGGTTTAGTTAATTTACCTCTGTTTCAGATCACAGCATGAGCTGTATGAATAGCCTATTGATTTTGTCCAACCAAACAGACAACAGTACAGAACCAGCTTGCTGTCACAGTTTTCAAGCCTGAGGTCCCCTTTTAAATATCAAGTAATATCATGTATCACTATGTGACAGTAGTTGTGCTTGCTCTGCATTGATTGGAAATTGTATAAACTACTGGATTCAGTAATAGCCTTTGAGTAACTTCATACTTCATTTATCTAGACTCTTCTCTTTCCTTTCCCTTCTTCCCTCCCTCCCTCCTGTTTCTCTCCCTTTCTCCCTCTCCCCCGCTCTCTCCCTCCCTCTCTCCTTCCCTCTCTCTCCCTCTCTTTCTCTCCTTCCTTCCTTTCATTCTTTCTTTCTTTCCTTCCTTCCGTGCCTGTCCCTGGGGCATGAACTCAGGTCCTGGGCACTGTCCCTGAGCTGCTTTTACTCAAAGCTAGTGTTTCACCACTAAGCCACAGCACCACTTCCAGCTTTTTCTGAGTAGTTTATTGGAGTTAAAAGTCTCATGGATTTTTCTGCTCAGGCTGACTTCAAAGTGAGATCCTCAGAGCTCAGTCTTGTGAGTAGCTAACATTACAGGTAAGCTCAGAAAATCTAGGCACTCCTTAAAAGCAAGACATTATATTCAGTTTGGTTTTTTTAAGACAGTGTACACACACACACACACACACACACACACACACGCGAATGATAGCCTTCATTTTTCCCACTTATTTAAATGGGTGCAATCTTTATTAACTAGTGTATGTGAGCTGAAATCCTTGGGGATTGTTGATGTACTGAAATAGTTGCTAAATACAACAGAACAGTGTAAGAAATGGTTATGCTAGATAAAAGTACGAACAGCTTTAAAAAAAGATTGTGAAGCTGCTTTACAGAGTGATTACAGTTACATAAATCAGGTAATGAGTTTATTTGTTTTTGAACAGTGTCATCTCTTCCCTCATTTTCTCCCCTTTTTTCCCCACAAGTTGAATGGTTTATTTTCAGTATAGGTTCTAGTGAGTGTCACTGCTGCATTTGTACACCCTTTTTCCTACCATTTCTGGGCTCTCCTTTACCCTCCCCAAAACAGATAAACTTATATATGAAACAAAAGGTACAGAAATCAAAAACAGCAACAAAGGAGAAACGAAAAATAACTTAAAGCCTCTTGTTTCGTTTTCTTGGAGTTCATTTCAATAAACATCATTTTATATGATCATATGCACATAGTTATTGAGCCTTTGTGATCCTCTCCTAAGAATCTTCTTCTTTGGCCTCACTATGGGAATGTTTAGATCCTGTATAATTTATCACGTCCAGGTGTAATTTTTTTGTCTTTTACCATCCATTGTCTTTACTGGTAGCTTTATAGGCACATTCTAACAAATGAGGGAAGCCATGCAACCTATGTTTCTTTAGATCTGGCTTACTTTGCTTAATGTAATTTTTTCCAAGTCTTTACATTTCCTTACAAATGGTGCATTATCGTTCTGATGGAAGCATAGAATTCCATTGTGTATATATAATTCATTTTCTTGATCCATTCATCCACTGAGGGTATCTGGGTTGATTCTATATTTTGGCTATGATAAACAATGCTGTAAAAATGAACACAGTTGTGCTGGCTTTAGTATTTTCTTGTTTGTGGTCTATTGGATAAATGCCCAGGAGTAGAATTGCTTTGTCATAGGAAAGTTCTGTTTAGTCTCTTGAGGAACCTCCATACTGCTTTCCAGAGTGGTCAAACAGTTTTACATTCTCACTAACACTGTAGTTGTATTCTCTTTTGGCCACATCCCTGCTAGCATCTGTTATTGTTTGTTTTCTTGAGAATGGCCTTTTTAACTGAGTTGAGGTAGAATCTCAATGTTGTTTTGATTTGCATTTCTTTTACAGCCAGAGATGTTGAACATTTCTTCATGTGTCTATTGGCATTCTTATTTCTTCTTTTGAGAAGTCTCTCTTTAAGTCTTTAGCCCATTTATTAATTGAGTTGTTTCTTTGAGGGTTTATGGGGGGGGTAATTTTTTGGGTTCTAAGTATATTTTAGATTCACAGCCCTTGTCTGATGCATAGCTAGTAAAAATCTCCCATTCTGTAGGCTTTTTTCTTAACCTTGCTAGCTATGTCCTTTGCAATACAGAAACCCTTGTTTGATTCAAACTTTTTTTTAAGTTGGCTTCTAGTCAATAACCTTTGAACTAGCTGTTTTTTCTTGTGTATAGATGATATTCATGGTAATTTCTAAGGTAATTAAATCCTTGTTCATGATTTTTAAAAAGGTGCAGTTGATCCGTTTCTGTTGATGTTTTATGTATTTTCAAGCTATTGGATTTTTTTTTTTTTTTTTTGTCGCTTGTGGGGCTTGAACTCTGGGCTTGGACACTGTCCCTGCACTCTTCAACTCAAGGCAAGTGCTCTACCGCTTGAGCCACAACGCCACTTCCGGTTTTCTAGTGGTTTATTGGAGGTAAGAGTCTCATGGACTTTCCTACTTGGGCTGGCTTTGAACTGAGATCCTCAGATCTCAGCCTCCTGAGAAGTTAGGATTACAGGCATGAGCCACTGGCACCCCGCTTATTGGAAATTTAATAGAAGATAGAGCTGTGTTTATCTGAAAGATTAATAGTACATACCTTTAGCATAAAGGTATTGTGTTCTGTTTAAATTTAAAGATTTCTCTATCAACGCTAAGCAAAAACGAATCTGAAACAAACATCCTAAGTTAACCAAGCATTTACAATTTTATGCAACTTTAATGAAACCCTTATGTCATTCACTTGCAGAGTATATCCCCATTTCATTTCACATGGGGGATTAACCTTTCAAAATGATGTTTTATTTTGAGTTTGGCCATTGGACATTTTGGACTATGATCATTACCATAATACAAGATGTGAAGCAAGATTGTTTGCAAGTGTTATTGAACAATGAGCCATCGGGAACTCTCCATTTTCCCCCAACCAGGTGTATGTATATACCCAAGCTACAGGGACACTGTGGTCCCCAGATGGTAGGCAGGTAGTATTTACAACTGTATCAAAGAAACCGTGGTGCCAAGAATTTGGTTTGTTCCTTCGCTAATAAAGATTACTTTTGTTCTTATGCTAGAGGGAAGAACAAATAAGCCAGCACCTCAAGATCTGCTCAATTAGAAATTAGGGGATTCACACTTGTAATCCTAGCTATTCAGGAGGCTGAGATCTGAGGATCACGGTTCAAAGCCAGTCCAGGCAGGAAAGTCTGTGAGACTCTTTATCTCCAATTAAACACCCAGAAAACTGGAAGTGTTACTGTGGCTGTAGTGGTAGGGCTGAAGAGCTGAAGGACAGTGCCCAGGACCAGAGTTCAAGCCCCACAAACGACTAAAAGAAAAAAAAAGGGGGGAATAGGAGCCAAAAGAGTTAAAATGGAAACTTATGATGCATTATAATCAAACAAGGTTTTTTGTGTTTTTTCCCAGACTGTGGCTTCTGCCATAGTGACAATAGCCTTTCGAGGGGACTATGTCTATTATAGGCAATACTTCAGTTTTAGATCCTTAGAACATGCTAAGCTAGTTTATCAGTCTTATCACAGCTTTGCATATTATGCCCTTTTTTTGCTTTGATGTAACATTAAGGCTTATTTCAACAGGAATTTGATATTTAGCTAGTTGTATTGTAGAATTTTGACTTTCATCTGGAGGACTAGGCTATGAAGTATGCTAATTTATTGGCTTCATAGACCATGTTGTGGTTCAACAAGTTTCATTGTTTGGATTTTCATCTGTGAAAATAAACTACTTCTACCATACTCATTCCTGTTGTTGTTTTTTTAGTGTATATTATTGTACCAAATGGTCTCACCATGGTATTTCAGATGTGCATGTATTACATTGTAATCAGGATGATCCTTTCTATTGCTTGCTCTTTATACCCGCTCAACTCCCCATCACCATCTCTTTGTTGGAGAAAGACAAGTGTGTACACTGAATAGGCTAAAACCTAGGAAAGATGATTTCTGGGGCATTTTCTCTTCTTCCAAGGAGAGTGCATAATGTTTTCTACTTTGCACAATAATTAGGGTTTAATAACTATAAGACAAATGACTAGTGCATGGCTCTTGAAGGAGGAAAGGACTAGAGAGGCTTTTCTTGTAAAAACAGCAGAAACATTATCTGCTCACCAGTGTGGAATTCAGATTGAGAAAACATGAAAGACTTAAGTATTTACTTATATTCCTGTAAGTGGAAAGAATGAGAAGCTGATTGAAAGTATGTGTGGCTTGGTACTGGGAGCTAATAGCTTTTAATGGAATTCCTAAGTGAAAGAAAACAATATCCTGGTACATTTAGGTGGGAAACTTGCATATGTTAAACTTGATAAATAGGTAACCTGTTAAAGAGACTTTAAGCAGGTGTGTAAAGTAGATAAATATTTAAACCTAACTTTACAAAGTTACACTTTCTTATCTAAATTAATACTTGGGTTTTCCCCAGATTCATTGTAAGTTCTATATGTCCAGGTAACTCATTTCCCACATTCTTAAAGAACTGGATAGAGGAGAGCCTAATAAAGTGTTTCCTTAACAATCACAGTTTCCTTCTTTAACAGTTCACACTGTTTAATAGTAGTTGCCCAGTAAATTATGCTCATTAGAAAGCTAATAATTTTTGTTGAAAGCATGTAATTGTAGCATGCAATAGTATAATACGTTTATGGTTTGTTTTCTTTTTGTAGAACACAAAGTAATTATAGTGGGACTGGATAATGCAGGGAAAACCACCATTCTTTATCAATTGTAAGTATAGATAACTAATAGTGTGTGTTATGTTCTTGAAATTTTGTTTTTATAATTAATAAAGGTGCCATTCTTGTAATAGAATGGAAGAGCTTTAGCATTCAATTTTCATATTTTACCAAACATAAAATTTATTTAAAAAACAAGTAAAAGAAACTGCTTTATGCTTCCTAAATAAACACTCATTAATTTGTGGCTTTGAAAGAATGAATAATGTTAAGCTAAAAGAAATAAAGCACATATACTGGTGGGGTGAGGCAATAAAGTGGATTATTCTCACACTGCGATTCATGTAAATAGATGGACTTCTCCCAGAAGTTTCCATTTTCCTAAGAACTCTGGAGTTGTTTAACACAACCAGGTTTGTCTAAAGTGATGACAGTTCAAAATACCACATTAGTTAACTTGCAAAAAGAGAGGCTTGAAACTTTTGGGGAAACACATTAATACTCATTCTTAATGAAATTTCAGCAGCCCATCAGTCCGCTTATCTAAGGACTTTCTGTTATTCTTTTTAAGTGCCAATGAAATGATCCTTTCAGTGCCAGTGAAATAGTAAACTAGGGAAGTAGCTCTCTGTATCCCAAGCATTTTAACAAATGGTTATGAAACACTTTGCACTATTCTAAGGTCTTATCTCCTCCCCCCATGTCATGCACTGAAAGTCCCATCAGTCTAGGGACTTGGTTGTAGGTTGTCTAGCTTGTACAAGGTCCAGGTTCTGTCTCTTGCACTATAAAAGAATAAAAAGTGCACCCATCTGTAGCTTACCAGAAATAATAATTTAAATAATACATTACATATTTTTCAGCTAGTTAACTAAAAAGCTATTACTTGTGATTTGTTGTTTCAGAGTTAAATAGCATTTTTATTCATTGGCGGTTATGTGTTTTAATAGGAATTAGCCTTTAAACATCAAACTTAAAATCTTTCAGAAAAGCTACTTTGATGTAAGAATTTTGTACAAACTTCAAAATTATACATAGCACCTAAGAAAGTTGTAAGCCTTTTCCAGCGTAGTATTTGACATATTATATATGGGTTGAATGAGTAAATTGATGTACCTTAATGATTGATATATCACAAATTATAGGATTATCAGTATTCATGAAATAGATTTACAATTTATTTTATGTATTTTGTTTTGTTTTGTTTTTGGTGTGGTCCTGAGGAGCCCATTGCTACCCCATAGGTTTATTTTTTGCTCAAGGCTAGCTCATTACCATTTAAGCCACATTTCCACTTCAGGCTTTTCAACTGGTTAATTGGAGGTAAGAGTCTCATAGGCTTTCTTGTCCAACCTGGCTTTGAACCTTGATCCTCAGATCTCAGCCTCCTGATTAGCTAGGATTATAGGTATGAGCCACTACTGCTGAGCCTGATCTTATATTTTTAAGACTATAACTTAATAAACCTGAGCTAACTTTTATGTCTAGAAACAGTCTCAACTTTCTCCCATAGGTACTTTAAAAAATATTGCATAGCCTAACTCAGTGGGTACTACTTTGCAACTAATGATGTTACTGTATAGAAATTGGCTTCTCATACTGGTGCATTGGCTCGCATCCAACTGATAATAAGACTTGGTGGCATTGGAATTTTTTCCCATAAAATCAAAAAAATTACACTGTTTGGAGCCGGGCACTGGTGGATAATGCCTGTAATCTCAGCTACTCAGGAGGCTGAGCTCTAAAGATCATGGTTCACAGCCAGCCTAAGCAGAAAAGTTCCTGAGACTCTTTTTTCCATGAAGCCCCCAAAAAGCTGGTAGTGGAGCTGTGATTAAAATGATAGAGTGCTACCCTTAGCTAATAAAGCTCAGGGATACCATCCAGGCCCTGAGTTCAAGCCCCAAGACCAACACATACACACACACACACATATAAAAACTTTCAAGAATTATTCTTTCTCTCAATCTTTATTTGCACAAAACAATTCCCAAGTTTCTGTTTTGCATACTTATGATTATTATTATTGGTACAAATAAGGAAGGTTGATTTATCTTAAAATATAGAGATTAAACATGCTTTGGGTTTTCAAGATTTACAAAGAATTTTTAATGGTTTCTTTCTTTCCGCAGCTTGATGAATGAAGTGGTTCATACTTCCCCAACCATAGGAAGCAATGTAGAAGAAATAGTTGTAAAGAACACTCATTTTCTTATGTGGGATATTGGTGGTCAGGAGTCACTACGATCATCTTGGAATACTTATTACTCAAACACAGAGGTATGCTAGAATTATTTTTGTAGAGAATTTTAAAAGACCAAAGAAAAACACACAAAATAACTAGGATACTGTAAATAAGATACATACATTGACAGTTTTCTTCTTAAGATACTTTTTTGTAAGGAGTTATGACTTTCCAATAAGAAAAGGCAGAAATTTTTAGGAGCTTTATTGACTCAATGTGGAGTATTAACCCAAGCTTATACACACAGTACTGTCAATCTCCAAGTTAGAGAAATTGTGTAACTTTTTCCAGGATCTCACAACTTTACAGCTGGGTCTGAAGTGTAATTTAACATAATATTTTCAAATCACATGAAATGAACATTCGGATTTTTGAGATATATTTTAATAACCAAAAATAATGTGCCCAGGTACTGGTGGCTCATAGCTGTAATCCCTAGCTACTCTAGAGGCTGAGATCTGAGGATTATGTTTCTTTCAAACCAGCCTGGGCAAGAAAATTCATGAAACTCTTACCTCTATGTGGCTCAAGTGGTAAAGTGCTAGCCTTGAACAAAAAAGCTAGGGAAAATACCCAGGCCCTGAGTTCAAGGCCCCAGGATGGGCACACACATACACAAAGAATTTACAGGCCACCCCAGAGGTATCTTATTTATTTTGTTATTCTGTTAGTTCTGAACCAACCTAAGAAAACAATTTCAGTTATTTTCTAATTGTGCTTCTATTTCTACTGTAGACACTTTAAAAAAAATAAAATTTTTAAGTTACCTTCAAGTAGTTGTTCAAAGGAGTTTCAATTCTACATGTCAGTTTATGAATACAATGCTTCTTGATCAATGTCACCTCTTCCATCATTTTCCCTCATCTCCCCCAACACTGCCAAACCTCAAGTTAACTGGTTTTATGTTCACATATAATATCTTGAATGTCATGACTTTTTTTTCCTCACCCATCCTCTCTCCATTTGTTTTCCCTCCCTCCCCTGGATACAGGCATATTTTTTAAGATCATGTAGTGCTGTTGAGAGTTTATCTTGACAGTATTAGTATACAATTAATATCTCTCTTACTTTTCTTGGCAAAGAGGTACACTTAACTATCTGTGTTGTTTGAAAATGAAACCATTTAAAGATTGGAGTTGGGGGAGGGTGTAATACAATTTCTGTGAAAAAGTTGCTTTGTAAATAAAAAAATGTATATTCTAGATTTGTATGATAATAGCATATATATTTATACATATATATTCTAAAGAATTAAATGAACTGAAGGGAAAATCACAGATATTCAAGACTTGTTATAGGATTTAATTATTTTATTTGGGTATGAGGATAGAGAGAGACTGATGAAGTTGGTAAGCAGGTACTATAGTTATAGGTTACCTTACCTTGTGCAATAAAAAAAAATACTGAAGATAGAGATGTAATAAAAAGATGCAGGAATACATTTCAGCATAGGAGTTAATTAGCACAGATTCTGCTTTTGAAACTCAACTCTGCCTGTGAGAAAAGCATTTATCTTTGATGAATAGGCCAGAGGTAATTCTAGCTGTTCCATGTGTACATAAGTACAACAGGATAGTTGTTTAAATTGCGGAAGCTGGAGAAGACTCTGAAACTCTAGTCTGGATCCACAAAGAAATACATTATTATTAATGCCATTTGCATTAAAAGTTATTTTATTACTCCAAAGAATGTATTTGTTATTATAACTCGCCAGTGTGTCACATAGCCTTTGCAATATTAGGTTCCACATAGAGATCTTATCTGTGTTGCATTTCACTAATTACTGTTTGTCCTTGTCATCTTTAATTTTCATGATTTATTCCTTCGTGGTAACCTCTAAGAGCTAACACAAAGCTGTTTCCCAATATTTGGTCCATACTTCTTTTGCCCTATTTCTTTCTCTTCTCCTTTATCCTTTTCACAGTGCTTCTTGGTTGATATTTATATTAATCCAGTTGTCTTTCCCTAATCCAGTCCTTCCTGTCTTAATTTTTTTCAGTACACTCTATGTGGTCTTTAGCTTTTTTTGTTCATTTGCTTCTTACTGTGTAGGCCAGGCAGGTCTCAAACTAATGATCCTCCTATTTTCTTCCTCCTGGGAGTTGGGATTGAAAGTGTTTACCACCACAACCTTCTACATTCTTTAATCTTTTTTTTTTTTTTTTTAAAAAGTTTCTTCTGCATTGAGCTTTTCCGATGTCATTCTCACTATCCCCTTAATTTTACTTACTAAAGTTGCTTTCATTTTATTTCATTTTACTTGTGTTTGCAGTGGCATGCATTTTTAATCCTTAAGACCTACTCTTTTTTGCATGTACATCTTCACCAATAGGTTCTCCATTTCTAGTTCTCTTCCCTTTTTCTAATCTCACTTGCATCTTCCTTTAGTATATCCATTCCAGTGTATATAATTCAGCACACTATAGCACATTTTTCTTGACCTTATTTTATTGTTGATACTCTCTTTGTAAAATTCCTTTACATAAAAATAGTTTTCTTTTTCTTTCATACTAGTTTTTCTTTTTAATAGGCAGGAGACTCTTACACATATTGATAGCGTGGTAAATGATGGCAAGTACTTGATGTTTTAGTGAAGGAGAGCTATTTAAATTTCATCTTAAAAATGATGAAAGAGTACTACTTATCAATATTTATATTTTGTATTTAGACTTATTTGTAATACCTTTACTCTTTTTATTTCTCACATTTAAGAATAAACCTTATATTGCATAGAATTGTCTATTTAGGCAGCAACTATTTAGGCAGGTATAAACTGCAATTTTGTTATTAATATTTGTATTTTCGTGCTTGGTTTATTTCACCTCTCTGTGATGAAAAAGCATACCTGTTTTATAATAATGATGATGCCATGTAAAAAAACTGCTTATATCACTTGAGTAATTTTACAGAAAACTTTAAACAGCCCACTCAATTTTCTCTTTGTTTTTAAATTGTCTTTTAGTTCATCATTCTTGTTGTTGATAGCATTGACAGAGAACGACTAGCTATTACAAAAGAAGAATTATACAGAATGTTGGCTCATGAGGTAAATTTTAAAAGCAAATCTTTAAAAGAATAATGGTTGGTAAAGCTTTCTGTCTGTTGGTTTTGCTTTTTTTTAACCAGGATTAAGATGAGACAATGTTGATTATTTCATCATTAGCAAACTTTGTTGTTGAAATTGTAAGTCATGAATATATAAATCACTACTAACTGTAAATATTTTTTTCAAGGTTAAAACTACTTTTTGCTGTAAAAATTTTTGATAAGATGAGGTCATAAAAAAGCAAAATTTATATGTCTCTCCCCAATTGTTCATAATAACTAAAAATCCTTTACTACTAATTTTAGATCACTTATTTCTAAATATCTTCAATAAGTCCCCAACCCACACACACACAAAAAAATCCTTACATAGCAGAACACACTCATATCTGGTAATGTACAAAATCCTTATGATAGTTTTCTAACCAGATCACTTTTCTTCTGTCTCAGAGGTATCTAGTATCTTAGATATCTAGTATCTAGTGTCCTGTTATTCCTGTGCACATTTTATAATTTCATTACATTTTCATTCATCTAAATTACACAGAGGTGGAATCTGTATTCCATGTTCCCTAAACTTTATATGTTGTTTTATGCATATGACATTTTATATAATTTGTACTTTTATTCACAAGATTGATATTTAGCCAGGTTAATACATGCAACACATTTCTCTTAATGATGATAAAGTATCTTACTGTATGAATATAACAATCAATATAGATTTTTGCTTTCACTTATTTGTGCTGATAATCATTTAGCTTATTTCTAATGTTTTGGTACAGTAAACATCAATCAATTAGCTTAAGTTTTACAAACACAAATACATAATAGATATCACCCACTTCCCATATTTTTCTTTACATGTTATAGAACTCAAGGCTAGAAATGTGATTCCATGGTCAAATGATTGTCAATTTGTTCCCTAGCACTGCAGTTCTGTAGTATATTACCTTTTAAAATATAATTCATTTAATTTTAGACTGATATTTAAAATTCAGTTGTAGCCAGGCGCTGGTGGCTCACACCTATAATCCTAGGTACTCAGGAGGCTGAGATCTGAGGATCATGGTTCAAAGCCAGCCCAGGCAAGAAAGTCCATGAGGCTCTTATCTCCAGTTAACCACCAGTAAACTGGAAGTGGTGTGTTAATAGTGCTTATCTTGAGCTGAAGAGCTCAGGGACAGCGCCCAGGCCCAGAGTTCAAGCTCCATGACCCACCAAGAAAAATCACTTTTGTTTTCTTTTTGTTTTGACCCCTTTAGCCCGCAAACTAGAAATTTTCAATCATCTGGTTACTCTAACGTCTTATTAGAGTGAGTCAGCTAATTTTCTCAAAATTATTTTTTATTTCAATAAAATTCTAAAGTAGGAACTTGTCCATCTGAGTTTTTACCCTCCTTCTTCCTTATTTAAGTCTGTCATATCATAGTTCACACCTTAGCAATATTTTGTATTGATTGCAGGATTTAAGGAAGGCTGCAGTCCTTATATTTGCAAATAAACAGGATATGAAAGGGTGTATGACAGCAGCGGAAATCTCTAAATACCTCACCCTTAGTTCAATTAAGGATCACCCGTGGCACATTCAGTCCTGCTGTGCTTTGACAGGAGAAGGGTAAGTGTTCATCAGCTGGAGGGAGGCATGCCCTCTTTGAGATTTCTCTCAATTACTTGCAAAAGTGTATTTTTGGACCTTCTTCCATGTCATTTCTCAACCATAGATCATTTAAATAATTTGCCAACTTAATGTTTAACCACAAAAGGCAGTAAAGTTTTTGCAATTCAATTTTTTTTCTGTGTGTGTGTGTGCGCCTGCACACATCTGTGTATCCTGGTATTAAGGCTTGAACTTAGGTCCTGGGCATTCTCCCTCAGCATTTTTCATTCAAAGCTAAGCATCTCAAGGTCTTTATACCTAGGCTGAACAATAATTGGGCTCCCTTACTTGATTTTTTCATACAAGGCTGGTACTCACTCTACCACTTGACTCACAGCTCTACTTCTGCCTTTTACTGGACAATTAGAGATAAAAGTCTTGTGGACTTTACTGCCTAAGCTGGCTATGAACCATGATACTCATATCTCTGCCTCCTGAGTAGCTAGGATTACAGATATTATAGTCACCAGCACCTAAGAGTTTGAAGAAGCAGACATTTGCAGTCTCTGACAAAACTGCCAAAGCTCTATTGTAAAAAGGAAACTCAGGCAATTGGCCACATTCCTAAGATGATTAAGATCATTTTGCTTAAGTAAAGCTTCCATTAAAATTTTTACTCATAGTATTTCTTGGCTGTTGTCACTAAGTTATCCAAATAATGATTGTAAACTATAGGTAAGACTTGCAAATTGTATTTTCAGTTTTGAAGTAGAAAGACTTTTATTTTTTAAAATACTTCTATCTTTTGTATAGGTTATGCCAAGGTCTGGAGTGGATGACATCCCGGATTGGAGTGAGATAACTTTTTGTCTTAAAAAAAGACTGCTCTATTTATTCTGTGACATGAACATTTTTCCTAGTACTTTTGGCTGCTGAGGCAGCAGCATGTTTAATTTATAACAACACAAACCTCTATAAGCAACACTTGAATCAAGTGCAGCTGAACTGGAACATAAAAGCTGTTTTCTAACTTTTTTTTTTTTAATGCACTAATCTTCAGTTGGATGAAAATAATGTGTAACTGTTTTCAGCAACAGGATTCTGCTTATTCTAATTACTCAGTGATTGCCTTGTTTAAAAAAAAGTTTGTCATATGTTTAGTGTTTTCTGAACTATTGTTATGTATAATCTTTGTGCCCAATTTCTTTCGATTCTTGGCCACCACTCCTTCCTTCTCAGATAGTTACTGATTTGACAGAAGTGGTAGATTTGTAAATTTCTCCAGCACTGAATGCTGTAAGTCATTTTAATCTTTTGAGCAGATTTTATCAGAACTAAAAATGCCTTCTTAGAAGATACATATAAGGAAGATTAAACATCATGAATATTCACCTTTAAATTTCCCTCATACTATTGCTTGTCATGGAGTAATTTTAAGTTTACTGTTTGCATAGAAATTATGTAGGCTGGTTACTTACTTGAAGAAATTAAGGGTTTTTTTGTTTTGGGGGGTTTATTTTTGCCTACAACATTTGATAAAAAATCAAGGTAAAGTATTTATTTGAAAGCCCAGCTTCAGTGGTAAATATTGTTGGATGCATCTAGTATTTTAAGCGTGTCAGATTATTTAATGTATATGTAACAGTTACTAGAGCATACCAACACTAAAATTTAAATGTGACACTTGGAGCATACTTCACTAGCAATTTACAAACAACTTTTGTCATCTGCAAAAATTTTGACTGTTTTATTTTCAGGAGGTACCACATCTGCTAAGAACAACAGCTAAAGCAGAAAGTGAGCAGTGCTTTTTATTAAAATGGCATTTCTTTTTATTAAGATGGCATTTCTACTACCACTAGCATATTACACCACGGGCTTTCATTACATTTGCTTGAGAATTTTGTGTAATAGATTACAAAGGCTTGATGTCTCTGTCATTATACTTCATGTTCTAAAATATTATAGGAAATTGCTAAATTTAACTTTAGGTTTTTAGGGTCTACTATGAGCCTCAGTTAATTTTGTTTTACAAATTATAAATGAAAAGTTAAATTTAAATGGAGGAGCAGTAATTATTTTGGGGGGGGGGGTTCCGGTCATAGGGTCTAAACTCTGGGCCTGGGCACTGTCCCTCAGCTCTTCACCTCAAGGCTAGCGCTCTACCACTTGAGCCACAGCGCCACTTCCAGCTTTTTTCTTTTTGTTTATGTGGTGCTGAGGAATCAAACCCAGGGCCTCATGCATGCAAGGCAAGCGCTCTACCACTGAGCCATCTTCCTAGCCCCTTGAAGGAGCAGTAATTATTCATCAAAAGTTTATTGGGTAGCATTAAGAGGTTTCAAGGCAGTTAGCTAATATAATAAACAGTACTACGTAAGAGGGAAGTACAAATACTGTAATTTCAATCCTGTTTATTTCAAATGTGTGATTTTGCTGCAATGAAAGGGGTAAAATTCTGAGAGAATAAGATTTCATTTTTGCAGTATTTTTTTATTTGAATCAAAAATAAGATTCAGTATTTTATAACATTATCAATATTCCTGCTCAGAAGTGGTATTTTAATTGTAATGTTTTGTATTCTAAGTTGACTTAAATTTTGCAGTTTTCAGGCACACTGAAAACAGTTTACTGTATTTAATTGAATTAATGTAATTGAACTTGGTTACATTTTTCTGATTTTTACTTAGTTAGTAGCACCTTTGACCTGGAAAAAAAAATGGCCAGAGAAACATTTTCTGAACTTTAGAAAACCACTGTTTAACTTTGTTTTGTACCCTTTTCTTAAAGACTCTGTACCAAGTAGTGGATGAGTTTAATTTTGTTTTGTACTTAATATAACCATAATCAAGAGTGGGAGAGGAAAACAGACATAAATCAATGGATGCTTGATGGTGTGTGTGTGTGACTGATGAGGGCGGGGACTTAAGAAAATACCATTTTACCTAAAGCACACTTTGCCTAAACTTTGCTTTGATATATTGTTTACCATAAGTTCCATGGGTAAATCTCATAAAGCTGTCCTGAGGAAAAACATACTACTCTAGTATTTTTTCTTATGAAATAATTGTCTGCCTTCTTGTATCAAATAAGATTGGGTAGTTTAATTTTCTTCTGTCAGATTATACAGTTATTTTTTTAATATTACCATATCAGCATTATATTAAAAGTGTTTTTAATAGTTGATTGTATTTTGTCAAACAGCTACTAGTATAAAGTCAAATTTACTGTTGTTAAGGTACAATTTATTTTTAAATTCCTTTCTAAAAATCATATTAGTATCAGATTAGAACTTACGTGTGTTAGGTATTTGTTGAAAAAGAAAATGGCATTCAAGCAAGTAGGCATTGTGCCAATATTGGGAAAAGTTCAGATTGCAAGTTCATGTAAGATTTTTGTTGTTGTTAGTCTGGAGCTTGAACTCTGGGCCTAGGTGCTGTCCCTGAGCTTTCATGCTCTACCACTTTGAGCCCAGCAGCACTTCCTTTTTCTGATGGTTAGTTGGAGATAAGAGTCTCATGGACTTTCCTGCCCAGGCTGACTTTGAACCATGATCTTCAGATCTCAGCCTCCTGAGTCCTAGGATTATAGGCATGAGCCACATGCACCCAGCAAGACTTTTTAAAAGGTCTTCATCACATATTTCCTGTAAAGTAATATAAAACAAATTATCCTTTACTCCAAGAGAATGCCTTGACCAAGCAAGGGTCAGATAGTTAAGCATTGATTTTTATATTTATTGTAGGTCAACCAACTATATATGCTACTGTTGGGTGAAAACACAGTTTGTTATTAGTGCCTTTATTTATGTTTTGAGATAAATTCTTAATTTTGTGCTTTGCCAATTCTTTGAAAGTCAGATTAGCAACTAATTGGCTCAACAAGGGAGTAATTTCTGTTACACCTTCTTTCAACTCCACATATTGTATAGCAAAAGTAGAAAACAAAGAGTCCACCTCCATTCAGGAGACTATTGTAATTGAAGAATAAATTAAATCTTAACCAAGATCTTGTTGATATGTTATAACTAAATTGTAAAAGTGACCTTGCAAATTCAAATATGGTAATTTTCTTAATTCTGAATATATTGCATTCAACTAAACATGAACCCACCATTCTTACTGACACTCAAGAACTTTATTAGAAATAATGGTCCTTTTTTAAAGGACTAAATCAAATATTTGTATTGTTATTATAATTTAATTCTTTACAACCTGAAATAGTAATATATATAAAATTGTTGTGAACTGAGAATTGAATATTTAATTTTTTGGTTTTTGTGTTATTTTTAGAAGTATCATTTTATTCTACTATTCATTAGGTAAAAGACATTTCATTGTTAAAAATTATTTTAAATATTATCACCCTATAGCCATAGTGTTTTGGGGGGAGGTGGAGATGGTTGAGACAGGGTCTCACTGTGGCCTCAGTCTGACCTTCCTCCCACCTCCTCGTGCTGGGGTTGCCAGAGTCATTACGTACAATTTTAACTTTCATTATCTTTAGCATAAAGTGAAGTAATTATTTTCCTATGGAAACAGTGAGTGATATAGGTAATGCTGCAGACAATATTCTCTAAAGAGTTATAATGTCTCCAAGCAAAGAAAATCTTGAAGAAAACAATAAAGGCTTTTCCTTTTAAGTCTTTTTGGTGTAGTATCTTAGGACAACTTGTAGATGGAATTGTTTGTGAAGGGCACTCATTTAATTCCAAACTATGAAAACCATACATTAGTAAATGTACTGGTAAGCTAGGCACCAGTAGCTCATTCCTATAATCCCAACTACTCAGGTGGGAGATCTGAGGATCTCCATTAGAAGCTAGCCTGGGCAGATAAATCCATGAAATGCTTATCTCTAGTTACCCAAAGCCAGAACTGGAGGCATGGCTGAAGTGGTAAGGTGCAAGCCATAAATGAAAAAGTGCATACTCACACACATACCAGAGACACATTTAAAAAAAAAAAAAAGCAAAGAAAGAGATAAGAAAAGGTATATAGATGACTAGGTTTGCTGGCATTTATGCTTAAGGCTAACGGTATATATCTTTACTTTTTATCTATGGCTTTAGAACCAAAATGTTCACACCTAATTTCAAGGCTAAAAAAATATTTTACAGTTTTCCAGAGGCAAGATAGTTCAGAAATAGCATGGCATTTGTATCTAGAAAAAATATTGTGTTGGATGTGGGAAGAAGTGGGTTTACCCACTTGTTGTCAGTTACCTCTTGACATAAGACAGTTGTTCCTGGCCTTTCTCTTGTTTTTACCATACTGAGAAACTTGTAAGCAAAGTAGGCCTCTAATTTATTTGGTTTATAATATTTTGAGTTCTGACATAAACTTTATTGGCATTTGATATCTACCACGATTATTATTTTATTTGAATATGACTACCGCCAGGTAGTTAAAGGGATGGTATCAATTAGCTGCTGTTCAACTTAATTTGAACTAATGACAATGAACAACAAGAAAACAAGCTAAGTTCCTTACAAAATGATATTAAACTGTTTACCAAGCACTGGTGTGTATTTAAATACTCTTCTAGAAAACGTACTGTGCTTATTTTCCTGCTTTGCTAATTTGGATAAACTGGTTAGTGTGTTCACTTCATTGCGTTTAGATGCCATCCTGCACTATAATCCACTTGACTTTGCAATTGAAAGTATATTCTACTTCAGGATGCTAGTATTTACAAATGTCTGCACATACCTGAAAATGATTATTTATTTTCAGTTTGTCTCATCTTTATTCAGTTAATATTACTACTAAGATTAAAGCTCAAAATCTCCCACAAAAGTATATTTTAAGAATTCTAAGTGACCAAAGCTAAATAGAGAAAGTCAGTGTAAGAAGGCTTTAATCAACTACTCCCATTTTAAAGTAGTGAGAACATGCTCAGTGCAGTTGCAAAATGTAGATACCTTGGTGAACTCTTTAGGAAATGAGAATGTGGAGCTTTAGAGACATACCTAGAAATAGGTTCCAAAACTTAATATTATAGACTAACTTGGAGTAGAAAATTGCCTAAAGAATATTAGTAAGAAGAAAATGTGAAAGGCAGAACGAAATTCTCCCCTTTCTTCCATTTATGACACTTAAAACTATTAGAAAGTATAGTCTTTTACAAGTACAACTGAGTGTCCTCTGTAATATTTAATATGACAAAAAAACATAGCTTTTTATCATTTGGAACTATAGTCATATAGGGTAGGTTTTGCATTTTTTAAACCTATAATCTATATTTTCTCCCAGAAGTGGAGAAATCATAAAATATACTGTGCATAGATTTTAGAGTAGAAAACAAAGACTCTAAAACAATGAAAATGTTTTTTGCACAAATATCCAAATCTTAATTTTAAAAACTTACCTCATTTTTTTCAATCTATAAGGTGCTTGTCCAAGTTAGCGATCTTGTCCCATTCCATAAATGTCAGTTATCTGTTGACCTAAGGCATCTGGTTGTTCATGGCCTTTCTTTACCTAAACTTTATTTGAAATATGCAAAATTCACAACTAAGGAATAGCATTCCTTAGAGGTTTTATTTTATTCTTAATTGTCTACTGAACACACAGCTAAACTATTCACGTATGGTTTTTATCAAAACACATAAGTGAGTGCTTAGTCAATAATTAGCTGTTTGACATAAAGGGAAAAAAGCTGTCCTTCAATTTGACAGATAATGTACTGTGAGAATATTTTCACCAGTTTTGGTAGGATAGCGAAAGACCATCATTTTATCTCATTTGTGTGTATCTGCATGTTTAATCCTTGTTCATAGGAGACTGTATACTCTCTTGGTCTTACATGTTCCCTCAGGAAATTCAGGGACTCTGAAGCCTTTATTTTATTCTCTTGGAGTAAACTTTCAGTCTGGTCATAAAAGGTCTTTATTTTTTTTCAAATCCTTAGTGGTGGTTATTTCATGAAAAGTGTGAAATAAAATGATAGCTATAACTTTTTGATTATGAATTAATTATAAGTTTTACCAAGGTCATTTATTCCACAGAAGATAATTTAACATAAAGAAGCAACAACAAAGACTAGAAGCAGATATGGCGTGCCCTTGCATTTATCCTAAGCAGGTATAATGATTATAATCACACATTACCATCTTTACATAAATCGGTGCTTTACAGCATTAAAGAGGATTCAGCAGGCCCTTTGCACAATATGCTTCTTGCTTCAGAATGTAAAACCACTTTCAAAATGTCTGTATTAATATTTATTATGTTCATTTCTTCAGATCTAAATGCAAACTGTTAGCCATCAAGTGTTAGGCTTTCTTCAAAAGCTCTATCAGCATGGTCAAATAGATGGTGTTAATAAGGTCAATATTATGAAGTGGATCTCTTTGTAGGCTCCTTGATATTGTACAGAAGAAAGAAAAATGTATTTCATGCCAGAAATTGCTACTGAACCCTAACCCAGCAACTGAAACGTGTGCCATTGGTTTCATATCTAAACACTAACAAAGAAAATTTTAAAAGGAGTTACTTTATTTATTCACTTAATTCATTCTTACAAGTGGTTTGCATGTTTTACTAATGGCAAGGTTGTCAAAAGACATGTTCTTAAAAGTGTAATATTTCATTACTGTCATGAAATGCTTCTTTTATATGTTTAGTTTGCTGGTACTTAACGTTTTTTATTTCTGCAATTATGTTGTAATGAGTTCTTTGCATGACTATTTACCCAAGTAAAGGATGCTGTTTGTTCTGGAATGTTCATCTTTTAGACAGGTTTGGCTCATTAGCAATCATGGTGCAATATAGTGTAACTTTCATCTGTCTGCAGTCTGCAGTCTACAATTTTATTTTTATCATAATAAATAATTACTTTTCCAATACAGAGTGAATGTAATATTTCCTTTTAAGGATCAAATAATATTCTAGTGGTCTTTTGCTACAAGTATAACCCACCTAAACTGACTAAGGGAGGGGAACTGATTAAAACCCAGCCCCAAGGGCAGAATCCAACCTCAGGCCTGGAACTAGGAGGAGGAACGAGGAAGTTACCTTCCTCTGCCCAACACTTTCTTAATCTTCCATTAGATTAGACTTGTGTTCCTGGTTCACTTGCAAAATAGTCCCTTTATGACCTGCCTACAAAGGGAAGTCTAATTATTCTTGGGTTTTTGGATACAATTCCATATTCCCCCAAGAAACTTTATTACAGCCAGTGATGAGTCACTTCCTTATGTGATCCAAACAATTGGCTACGAATCCCATTCATAGAAAAGTTTGAGATGTAATCGAATAATGAATAGGACAGCAAATCTGTGTCCATTATCTAAAATTTTCTACAGTTGGGATACTTATCATACACTGAGAATGTAATGAAAGATACGTATCTGAAAAAGTTGCACACATAGGGAGTTAAACATTATGCCTAGGTTAGGACTTTCAGCTAGTTCAGGAATTCTCTGCACAGAGCATTCAAATGATCATTTGAGAGAGATTAGGAACCAGTAAGTGTACACCCTGCCTATTTTTAAAAACAACTCTCTTTGTTTACATCGTTTCTCTTTCTATTTCCTCCTGAAAGTGAGGCTCGGGGTGCATCTCAGTTGTACAACACTTGTATTGCAGATTGGTACCTAGCACAGACCAGGAAAAAGAAAAGCAACAACATAAAAGTTAAGGTGAAAATAAGGACTTAGTAAAAATAAAATTTAGGAGACAGCATGAAATAAATCCTGCTTTCTGACATATAGTTAACACATTAAATTGTACCAGGTATAGGTAACTCATTACTTCTCCAAAGGTTCCCTAATGTTCAGTTGTTCTCTCCATGCTATCCCCTGCACCTAGCTAACCACTGACATGCTGTTTTGTTATACTCCCACTGAATTACTCATAATCACTCACCAGAATTATTTTGAGATTTTTTTTTTTCATTTTAGTCTGTGCACCAGTAGTCCATTCCTTTTCTCTGAGTGGTCTTCTTTTGTTTGTATACATCATGATACAAGACTTTTGTGTGTGAAATTGAGTGTAAGTAGGAATTTGTACTGCTTGGGTATTCTAATGGAACCATTTCTAAAATCAAAGTAACTAGGAATGAGCTGTTTGTGTAGCAGATCTGTTGCACCTAGCAGCTGCAAGGAAGTCCCTCCATCTACCCCAAATTACAGCAGATTCAGTAGTAACCACTGGCACGCATGAAGTGGTTTCAGCCCATGACAATGCCCCTTGAGCTCCCATGAAGTGCTCATGCATTCCCTACTATTTGCTGGGGAATGGATTACCTTATATTAAAGAGGATGTCAACATGAGAGTGATTATCCTGGATTGTCTTATATTTTCTTACCAATGTTGTTATTTTTGCTTTTTTAAATGTATAACATAAAATGCATATTTAATTCAAGAAATAAAGTTAATAATGTACCTACCACTGCTGTGCTCAGATCCCTTCTGAGAAGGGTCAGCTTCCTATGCATCTAACTTTCACCCTCCAAGAGTTACTAGAGACCGTGTTCCACACCTAAAGGCACTGGGAGTACAGTTAGGGTGGTGACACTATTCCCTCCAAACCCACAGAGTAGCCCAATGGCATATCTTGATAAGAAATCTGATGGGAAAAGGCTTTGATCGCTCATCCCATTTTCTGAATCCTGTGGCATTGAGTAAAAATAAAAGAAAATACACTGACCAGTATCAGTTGAGCCTCATTTTGGCCCTTACAATGTAGTTGGGGATATAAACAACTGTAATGGAAGCCTAAGAACTGTTTTAAGATTAGTAGGTCTAGTTTACTTGTCACCCACATAAAACATACATTATCTTAGTCCTTTGTTAAATGAGCAAGAGGAAAAAACTATCTCAGAAAGAACATGAACTTTGGTAGAAAAGTATCTGTACATTTAAAATGAAAAACATCTATAAAATCAGTTGTACAGTAATGTTTGTTACAGGATAGAACTAGATGTGTAGCCATTTATTATTAGGGGTTAAATGTGTCTTCCCCTAAAATTTCTATGTTGAGGTCGTAACCCACAGCTCCACAGAGGGCGACCTTATTTATAGACAGTCTTACAGAAGTAATGCAGTTAGCTGGGCGCCAGTGGCTCACACCTATAATCCTAGCTACTCAGGAGCCTGATCTCTGATGATCATGGTTCAGAGACAGCCTGGGCAGAAAAGTCTGAGATGCCTTTCTCCAATTAACTACTCAGAAAAAGGCAGAAGTGGAACTGTGGCTCAAGTTGTAGAGCACTAGTGGGAAGAGACAGCTCTGTGAGCCAAGCCTAGATCTGGATTGCATCCTTCAAAGCCTTCAGACACAATCAGCTCCACTGACTTGTTGATTTTGTATATAGAGTCTTGCAAAACTGAGACAACAAGGTTTCTGTTGAAACCACCTGGTGGATAGTTCTTTGCAAATCAGGAAGGACAATGATGTGGCTACTTGGTGGACAACAGAGATACAAACACCAAGAAAAGCTTTCTCACGTCATCTTTGCCATCACTGCTTTATTCTCTCCTACCAACGGTAAGCTTTGTTTCTTTCTTGTAGTAGAAAGCCAGTAACCTGTAACTCTAGATTCACATTTGAACAGCTTTATAACTACACAGAAAAGCAGACTAATTGCCAGAATGCTTCAAACACTTCTTGGAGAGGAGGTATATTTGATTGGTTCGCAGTGGATCAGGGAGCTAGCTTATAGGTAGTTTCCAGGAGAGACAGACAGAGAGATCTGTGTGGCTGCATGGTGAGGGGGAGGGGAAGGTTGATGGAAAATGTGAATGAATAGCAAAAAGAGTAGATGGAATAAACAGCCACATCATGAACCAGCACTCACCTTCAATTCTATTACTGAATGTCGACTGCTTCCTGTGACTAAAACCAGATGCCACATGATGTGAAGCTAGCTGTCTACAAGCTCCAAGAAAGTTAGAAAGAAAATTATTCCAAAACCAACTTGAAAGGAAATTTTTAGGAAAGCATTTTGACACAAAATCCATAAACATTTTTGCAGCTATTGCTTCTAAATCAATATAAATTTCTCTTTAACAGTGAAGTTCACATGGTAACAAACTTACAAATTTAGTTGTTGTTAGCATGATGCAAAGAAGTGTTTGTGTGGGGGAGAGTCCTGGAGCTTGAACTTAGGGCCTGGGCACTGTCCCTGGGCCTCTTTTTTTTTTTTTTGTCGGTCGTGGGGCTTGAACTTAGGGCCTGGGCACTGTCCCTCAACTCTTTAGCTCAAGGCTAGCACTCTACCACTTGAGCCACAGAGCCACTTCTGGTTTTCTGGTGATTAATTGGAGATAAGGATTTCACAGACTTTCTAGCCCAGACTGGCTTTGAACCAAGATTCTCATCTTTCTACCTCCTAAGTAGCTAGGATTACAAGTATGAGCCACCATGTCCAGTGACAAATTAAATTGTCCCAACTGATCTTGGGGACAAGTTGGTATATATATTCTTACTGGTAAATAGCAGGTTACATGTATCTGAAATCTGACTTACTCCTTAGCTGTGGACCTTGGAGAAATTATTCACGTACTGAACCACAGTTCCTTCAAAACCTCATTAAGGTTATTAAAAAGATTCAGTAAGTCAGCCACGGCCCTTAGGGCAGTACCAAGAACATATTAATTGTACAGTAGGTGCTAACTGTTCCCATAATTAGATATACTAGACATAGGTCAAATACCAATACAGCCTAATGGCTGACTAG